AACAAGTTGGAAGTTCACCCAAATTAGAATCGCAGCCGCCTTTCTGAAACGACACTCTACATAATCGGATTGGCAAAGCGCGAGTGCTATCAGGTGAACAAGCAATAACGTAAAAGGGCTAAATCGTTATGAAAACCACGTGTGTTGGCACGTGATACACGCTTACCAGATGTTCACAATCCAACAGCTATAAATAACAGATATTTTACCTTGGTACCGTATCAATTAAGTTCGTACGTCGTTTTACATAATTCGGTATTGTTTTTAAAGCACGAATGATTACTACATATTTATAAGAATTCAATTTGCTTCTCGTTGGAAGACAGAGAGGCAGATGTTAAATATTTTGAGCCCCGCACCTGGCCTGCTGAAAACTTGTGGGCCACACACGTAACCGGTATTTGTAAATAATGAATTGAGTCAAGACTTCTTTAATTTTGTTCCTTTTTTCGTGATGTCTTAAGGTTTTCGTTTCGTTCGATTCGTTTATCATCGTGTCACAAATAACATTCTTAAATTAATTACATAAACTACCAAATTACTCACCTCTCAATGTGAATACTCCATACGATTCAAGCAAATCCCTAATGATGTGAAAAAGTTACCATCCTATTAAGCCACATATTGCACCGACGCTGCAAACTCGTAATTAGTTAACAGGTAATTAGGAACATTTATTTTTGCACCTTGGCGCGAAAGAAAACGCATTAAAACACCTGGAGATACCACAGTTATTAGGTGCAGGAATGCTGGAATGAGTCGATTCATTTACTTGCTGCAATTTGTAGTAATAGAATTGATCGGTAATGCTTTGTAATTATTTCAGCATTCGATCTAGTACCTATTCCTTGTTTAATCGTGCAATAACATTTTACTTTGACAAAGTGTCCTGATGGTTTAACGAAATTCGAAACAACAGTTTCAAACTCTATACTGCAGAACAAGTCTATTAACTAAGGGAGTCCACATTATTTACTAGGGACGACATGCGAAACCATGAATTCGGATTACAAACAATTTACAAAATTACAACCGTATTTGTATTTCTATTCTTTGAGGATGTATGTTATGCTTAACAGTACCAAATATAAAAAGATTCAATGGTAAGTCAAATGTAACCTTTGGGAAATACGTATTTTTAAGTGCTATTTAATTTGAATTCCCTAACGTCATAATGTAATCTACTGAAAAGGATACATAAGGTTATTATTCTCCTCGTTATTCTCTTAAAAAAAATCTTTCTAAATTGCGTTAGTGTTGAATCTCTAAAAACCTAAAGCCTTTACTTTGGCTTTTAGGAGAAAGTCTTGCCCATGGGTGTAATGTTGTAAGCACCATTATGAAAAACATTTCGAAGGCGCAAGTGTCCCACTTGGTTACCCTGGGGACAAGTGTCCATGATTCGGAAAATGCTCCTATACCATACAACCTTTAATGTACGTCCGGTACTAAACATACGCTTTATTATTAGGAATGTTGCTCCACTGCATATCCTTGTGCAAAAGAAAAATTTTTGTTTTGAATGGTGGGTTTCCAAAGCACGTTTCGCAAAAAAAGGTTTTTCCATTTTTTGACGGAATCTTAAAGTTGAAACATATCATATGATACACCATTGTAATCAGAAAAACGAGCTTTATTAAATAATGCTAAAATCCAATATGGCTCCCATATGACGTTTTCGAAAAAAGGGAACATTGAAAATTTCAGTTTTTTTTTTTAAATCGTGACACGAATGTTAATTAATTGTGTTACTGCTAAAAGTTCTTAATGCCAAATTTAATGCTTGTAAGTAATGCTAACAAAGTGTGCAGCAAATGCCAGTAGTGGATGACTCCTCGGAAAAAGTGCATGACAATTTTGTTCTTAATCTCTCAAAAGGCGTACACAGAAAATTTGGTGAAACTGTAAATCTTTTTCAAATTTCTAGGGCCCGTGAAAGTGGGCGTGGTTGGTGAATGTCACATTCTTGAAAACGTACCTTGGGAAGTGAACGTTCCTGGCGCGAGTTTTCCCATCTTTTACTTAAGAGAAAACGAAATTCAGCCAGGATGTACTCAATTTTACCGGGAGTGAACTAGTATTGCGGGAACGCTCCCTTCGCAGAAATTAAAGAATAAGGGCTCAGGACAATTTCTTAGTTCTCCCTTTTAGCGTGCATCTCTCAAAAATTTTTAATCACTAACCTATAGCAATATGGTCAATACTAATTCCACTGATTCCGAGCTGTAGGTATACCAAAATTGTATTGCCATTTCCCTCTGGGTTTAAATATTCCTTTAATAAAACAGCAAAAAACAATATAGACTGTATATTAACGAATTATTTACAGTATTTCAAACACGAGTTTGTGGCAATGTTTTCTAGTTGTTGTATATGCCCTGCTGTTTGTATGATATCTGTCAGTATTGAGATGGGGAAAAAAACTTTCCATTTCTATGGATTCATAAAATATGTATTGTCTCTTCCTGATGTCTAGAGTATCCAATTTTATTTTTTTACGGCAATTTTAGAATGCTCGTACAAATTGAAACTTTTATTCCGTGTCATGAGTATTTGTTGACAATTTTTATAAATGATTGGCAAATTCCGAGATGAATACAATAAATTATTTTGGAATTAGTAAATTATTGGTAACTTTAATAATTATTTTTTGTAATTTATGTAAACGAAAACGACGTACAACCATTTTGGAAATGATCAACCTTATATTTATCATTGTTGTATTAACAAATGTTCTAGACATAATGTACACTTTCTTGCCATAATTTTGGCATAACTATTCAAAAGTGGAAACATGTTAGGATTTGCACCAGGTCTTTCGAAGTTATAAGCCTAGATTCGTGCGACTAAACAAAGTCGATGTATAATCACTGACATATGTCACCAAATGTACTGTCTGAAACGCCTTGGTTATTAATCCCTTTTGTAGTTTCCTATTTAATCAACACGAAGCTATATTCACCAACTGCTTTTATTTCAACTTTGCGGTTACATTGTACTCTCAGACTACCGTTACTGGTTACTCAATCTTTGTAGCTGCCGAAATTGTATTCAGGTAGTGGAATTTTCAGCCACCTTCGTGCATACCTTTATGAGTCATGCTCAACCTTTAACATAATTTCAGCCATTTTAATTTTAAGACGGTCGTAATTTCACCTTCGCATGCACTACTGCTCATTACACCATTTGAAGTGCTTATATACGTACGTAGGTTGAACTTAACACCTGTTTACCTCGAGGCCTTTGATAATTGCCGTAGATCTAACTCATGCTTACTATTTACTTTTACATAGCGGAAAGGTGCATGCTGTAGCTTTTACTTTAAGCCCCTCGATTATTCACAGTGGACGAATTTCACTTTTATCCTCGAAGGATATGAGGGTATATTAATGCCGCTTTCTTTTCAAATCATAAATGTATGAAATTGTTAAAAGACCTCGGGCATACGTGACTTAGTAAAAATAAATTGGATGCGTCGCAAAGTTGCGGTGAGCTTTGGGAGAAAATTTGTACCTTACGTCGTTATAATTTGTTTCTTTTTATATCAATAACTTCTTCCGCATAGGCAAATTGATCTGTATTACCTATTATTACCCAATTAGTGTTTTTAGAGTCAATACTAATGCAAATTACAATAATAGTTTACTGAGATGATATGTGGCCAATTCGAACGAGTACAGATAATCCTTAACCGCAAACATAGTCGACAATGTCGTTGGATACCACAATAATCGGCTCCGGGATTACTCGGCTCTGGGACTACTCGGTTCTGTGATAACTCGGCTCTGGGATTACTGGCCTCTAGGATAACTCGGCTCTAGCATTACCCGGCACTGTGAGAATCATTCGGCTCTGAAAAAAACCCTCCGTTCGTATGGCTTCTTTATGCACATACAAATTTCAACTTTACGAATTGTTTTATCACCAAGGTCTAATTAATATTTTTCGTTTTAGTATCAATACATGGTATATCCTGCGAAGATGCATACAGGGTGAGGCTAGAGGAATGGAAGTCATTGTAAGGGTGTAATAGTACTAGTAATAATAATAATTATTATTAATCGGCTCTGTAGCTCAGCGGTAGCGCGTTGGGCTATAAAGCCGGTGGTCGGATGTTCGAATCTGGGATGAGGTAATTTTTCATCTGTGGCAGAGATGGAGAATTTCCTTATATCAGTTTCGAGCATTCTGCCGGCTACTCCGAGTTAGGTTTTCCTCTAGTTTCCCTAATTCGTAAGGGAAATACCGGAGGAGAATAGAACAACTTAAGACCTTCTGCAGGGGCACCTCAAAAGAGTTATGCGGGTCACTCTGTAATTGGGTGCAAGCCTGTTGAGGACCCAATACAAAAGGCACAACAAATAAATTAAATAAATTAATTAATTAAATGAATTAGGTTATTATTATTATTAGTTAACCAGGCTAGACCTGAGTTCTAAAAAGGAAATCGGACCATAATAATAATCATAGTAATGATTAGGGCTATAACGTGTTTGTTCGAGAACATTCAGAAGCGTCCTTGAACACTCGAAAACATTCTAGAAAGAGTGTCTATATAAGCAAATCGAATTGTGTTTTGAGTTCAGTTCGTAATTAAATTTACGTTACAATATCTTTTATGGGAAAGGAATTATGATCCAAGAAGTCTTAGATGCTACACCTCGTGCTACACCCTGTAGATAAACCAGTTTTCAAAAAGCTATATACAACTGAGAATCAGATAGTAGGGTACAGTATCAGGATCTCGGTCCCTTGAGCTATGATATCAGAAACAATCAAAAACAAGATGACTGGAGAAATAGGGCGACATATCTCCTGATAGATTTCTAAATTTTATGAAGAAAATTATAATTAAAAAGTGGCTTCTTTAACTTAATTTTTCTTAATTCACTCAACAACAAAATGACAGTTTCCAGGATCTTATCACAAAAAAGATCAGCAACGAATATTACGAAAATGCCGCGACTATAATTTGTACTTCTCAAATAAACGTGTATGAATAAACTTCGCATCCCTTTAATCAATTTTTCTATTTCATTTTTCAAACGTATAGTTTACATCTTGACTATTATAAGACGTACTTATAGCTTTAAAGTTTATAGTTCAGTATCTTCATTATAGTGCATCTTGCGCTGACGAAAATTATCTTGGATTAAAACCTAATTTTGTTAAAATGTTTACTATCCCTCCTCCATTTGTGATGGCACTTGGAACAGCAAAAAAACTTCATTTAACGAACTTTGCGGAAGCATGGGTTATACTTTACTACACTTTACAGCATGTTAGCATCAAGCATCACTAAAACCAGGTGAGCCTTTTCCAAACAATTTTATAATAGGAACCAGACGCATTTTAGTCACAGAGAAGAAGCCAATATCCGTATTACAAGAGCACAACCCTAGAATTAATTCGCAATAGGTACTGTAAGTGCAACGTTAGGGATGTATCTTCGATCCTCGAGCAGCAGTAAAAAAAGTAAGCGAGGTAAGTGTCAATTAGCAGGTTATGAAATTTTCTTACCTTATTACGTTAAAACTGTAGAAAAAACGGGGCAAATAAACTTGAAAAAAAAGCGATGAAAGTGAGCAAACGCTTTAATTTCCTTCTGATATAATTATTTCCTTCCTTTGACCTTAATAACCATCCACGGAATCCTTAGACTAACGGTAGATTACGTTGCATCAACGCGATCGAATATTTGCACAACTACTGCACTTAAAACTGTTTCAATTGCTGCATTCTTTGACGACCACGCCGAAATTTACAATTACACGAGCAATTACTTATTCTAAGAATTTTGGCAACGAATAAAAACGGAAATTCTTCAAGGTTGACGCAAACGGCGTAATAGGCTGACGCGTCCTAGCTAGATATCTAAATAAGATAATGTAAGGTAATGAAATTAAAATATTCAGGGCATGTACAAACCTTGAGACGAATTGCGAAAGTATTGTTTATAATTGGCTTGTAATCATCGACCGACGTGTACAATAATGTGAAGGATTAAAGATATTAAGATTATGTCAAAATCCACCATTATCGAAATTGAAAATGCCAAAATTGTTGAGAAACTGGATTATGTTTGCCGAGGCTGGTTTGGGAAACGATACACATGTATCACTACGACAGGAATTTCTTATTAGGGGGCAAAGATTTCCTTCACTGCTTAAAAATTGCCACTATTTCCCTTAATTTCCCCAACACTTTTAGCATTGCCTAAAATCTTTCCAAATTTAAACAAATTTTCTCCGAATTAACGTGAAATGAGTAACGTTTACTTCCTTATAGAAACCTTGTATTTCCTTAAAATTTCCTCCCTAATCCCTCAGAATTTCCTCAAAATTTACTAATATTTTCCCACAATTTCCTTTAATGTCGTCCATTTCTTACATATTTCCCAGTTACTTCCTCGATATTTCCTAAATGAGGTCAATAATTTCCTTCGTGATCATCCCCTCGATGGCATATGTATGCAGATGTTGGAGGGCTCTTGAAACCTCAGAGGTCAAACAAATTTAATATACCCCCATAAGTATGTATATGAATTTAAATATGGTATACAATATCCGCCATAAAAATTCCAGAACTTTGTCATAAAGTCATACCTAATCTACTCCTGTACATATTACATATCGGACACCAGGCATTTCAGGATTTAGAGGGAGTTATAGGCAGTAATCGAGCATTGTAGGCATTATAAAAGCATTACGGGAATACGAGTAGTAGAAGGGCATTGTTGGCAAAATGGTCAATACTGCCGAATCGACATTTGGTGTACTGTATTTTGCTTGGTGGATGTCCCTTCGCAAAGATATTAACAAAAAATCGAGCAAAAAATGAAAAATTCAAGATGGCTGTCATGTCTCGCTATAAGTTTACCAAATGGGATTATATGCCATCTCAGTTTATAAAAAAAATTAACGAAATAAAAGAAAAATAACATGACTATATCCCCCTATCTTGGATTTGGGGTGATATCTTTTCCGGCGTCCACTTTCAAAGACCAAAATTCATCATAAATGACGCCCTATCATAATACATAATAAAACACCTCCATTTAAAGTAGTTTCCGCATCCTGTAGATAGTCTCAGTTTTTTTAATCGCAATTTTTCCAGTTATAAAGCGTAACAAAACGTAAACATTTATTGTTGTGTTGATTTAAAGTCGTTGAAAAATAGTACGAAACCCGTGATGTTCTGTACTTTTTTTTGCAACATGACAGTGGACTTACATTGCACGGTTCGCTTTAGTTGGGTGATCATGATAGGCATATAGGAAAATTCAGTCACAGTACCTTTTTGACGTGTTTTCCGAAATGGAAAAAGTTCCTGACCACTTGGTCTATCCATCAGTCTGATAAGAACCACCTTAGATAAAAAAGAAAAATAATTTCCTACCTTAATAATCGACTATGATTATACAACGCATTAAAAGTCGATTTAGAGAATTAGTTTGTTACTATATGATGTATATTTTTTGCTGAATAATTATCGTATTGCTAACTTCATGTAATTTTCGAGAACAACATGGCCTGACTTTTGAAGTTAGAATTAATGTACTTTTATAGCCTCAATGATCATTCAAATCTTGATTCAAATTATCTTCGAAGTAGAAGTATGCAGGTATTACTTACTTTCGAGTTGTACCAAAAAATCAAGTGAAAGAGGGAGCAACAAATAATTTTTTTTAATAAACCAATAAGTCGAGGTGTAAGAGATAGAAATTCTTAAAATCGCATTTCTGTTTTTATTTTTGTTCTCGAGAACCAAAGATCAAAATTTCATGAATTACCGAAACGGCGCCGGCGGGTGTTACCTAATAAACATTGAAAGAATGTATAGTACTGTGAATATTTCAATTCGAGTTTCAATTCCTTTAAGTGGTCTTTTGGACACCAAGCTTGTGTGTCTGAATAAGAAAATGGTTTCTGAAAACAAAGTTCATTGGCGATGTTGGTAAAAGCAATGGATCCATAGTGTCCATTTTTTTTTTCAGTTTTTATACCTAATCTTTATTGTTTCAGAAAAAATTATTTGGCTAAAATCGGAGTAACGAATACTACATGAACGAAACTTAGAAGTGTTCGTAAAGCCTGCTATTTTTAAACCTACTCGTATCTGCGGTTTGTTGTTAATATTCCTTATCATAATCCCAAAAAAGGAACCGCCTGTTATGAATAGTAGTGACAAGCATGCATAATATTATCAGATTATCAACAACAACAAACCTCAGAGGTGCCTATTATATGACCACAATGACAGTGGATAACGGCAGCTAAGAGTTAAAAAGTTCGAGGAATGAATACCAAGCGTTGTCATTCATGGCTTCGTTTCATATACGGATTACCACAATAATTTTTTGTCTTCCAATATGAAACCTAGTCAGGCATGACATGCAATAAAACAAGGATCGAAGACCGCCGCCCCGATTTCATTTTAAGGATTCCAGCGATTCATATAAAAAAGCAGATATCCGACACGGTTAGATTTAGGTATATTGTAACGGTCGTTTTGTCGCATACGATTACGTACACTTTTTGATTAGTAATTAGGTTCGTGATTGCAATTTTAAAATTGATACCTACTACTTACACGTATATCGGCTTCATCTAATTTCAACGTTAAAACCCCTTTTAGCCTTCCTTCTTCGGGAATTATGTAATCTGCTCATAAATTTTAATAAGACGTCAGGATTTATCAGTCATCCCGAAAAAAATACTTACTAAGGATAATGGCAAGATTATGTTATTATTATCGTTCTTAGTAGTCGTACTTCATTCACAACTAGAAACACCTGCAGAACAGGAAGTATAAATTAAAGGAATGCGTGAGCGTAAACTACATCTTCTTCACTAGTACTAGGTTGAGATACTTATAAGGATTGAAACGTGGAGTTACGCCCTGATTTACAAATTGAAAGTTGAACATCGATGGGATTGTGGAACGGTTGAGGTATTCATGGCATGTTAATAATAACGTAATGTAGTGAAAAAGCGAGAGGTAAGAATTTCCAATCCTTACGACAGACTGTCTAATAAAGCTTTTAAACTTCATTAATTTATCTAGTTCCGCGATGGCTTTCTAATTAAGGAACGTTTCAGTGCTGGCTGGTACAGTTCAATTAGCTTCTTTCTTGTTAAACACAATGCGTGTACTAAAAAATGTTACCGCCACTAATTCTTTGGATGCCATAACTAATGGAATGCAAATATCGAGGTAAATAACATACACTGTGTCCAAGATAAGGATGTCTGTCATGGGGATCTCGGAAACCATAGAAGATACGACGATGGTCTAAAAGAATCTAAAGGTCAATCTCGAGAACTGCTCCACCAGGGTAAGTGCGAAACCATTCGTAGGACCCGAATCGGCCTGTGGGATTACGTGTAAGTAACACCGCCGAAAAGGAGATCCAGACAAAACTCACGAAAGATCCGAGGAAAGATCACTGCAGACATTGGTCGAAAACTCATGGACAGAACCATTCCAAGATCTTGCTGGAAACCCCAAATGGGGAATTAGGTTCGTTTATCTTATGGCTAAGTAGGATGAAGATAAAACTCGTGACAGAAACAAATGTGAATCAAGGCAAGAGACACCCGAGGAGACACCTATTTGGAAATAAAAAAATTAGGCAAGAGGAAATAACGAGGATTTCGTCCCCCAACAAACGCAGAACGCGGACGCAAAGAAACTTTGAAAATCGAAGGCGTTTTTAGTTAACCAACAACGAACAATTTGCATAGTCATTGAAGAAGTTGGTGACACTGGGACCGTAGAACAAATTTATTGAAGGATTATTTTGAACTAATAATAATCGATAAACGGATTTTGATCATTTGGTGTTAATCTACTACGGAACTGATTATTTACCATTGATTTTCTGAATCCATTATTTCATAATTGGCGAGAATAATAGTAAAGTTTATTCGTGTAGTATTATCTGAAGATATTTACACATGTCAATTGTCAAGTACAGAACACAATAAAACTTAAATTTAAGAACAAAGTACTCGTCTATACAATATAGGGGATTGCGAGGGGGATTGCAAAGCAACGTTTCCTTTAAATGTTACTTAAACAAATGTGTCGGTAAATTTTTTATTTCAGTAGGTACTTAAGGCATTGAAGAACTTTACGGACCAGAAGTTAGGCCTGTAATGTGAGGTGGCTAGTCTGAGGAAGGGAGTTTTCGCTGTTTCTTGTTCTGTGTGAGTGGACATCTTTACATGTATTAAAACAGTGTAATTGGTTATAGGTACCTCGCATTATACTTTTGAGGAATCTAAAATTGATTTAAAAAAACGAATTTTTGTTGATAATATAATTAATTAAATAATGCAATCGATTATTTTTGGCAAACGATTATTGCTGCACACAAAAAAGTGCATTTTTATGACTCGAATAGAGTTATTCTCCAAGATCAAAATTCATGCTGCACACTCCAACCAAATACGCTTTCAGCCATTTAACCAAAATGATGGCACGTTTGAAGAGCACCTTCTGTTAAAATTTGGCTTTGCGTATGCACAATCCTGAGCGATCGAAACAATGCCATAACAAAATTCATAAAAGATGCAAATTTGACAAATTTACAAAGCACATTAATAGTTAATTATTCCTTAATTAGCTACCTCGTTAATTATATTTGTGAAAATTTGTTTGTACATGTTCGCTTCGACCGCACATTTATTCAGCCTTGCAAACAATCGCGATTTTGAGCCGGGGACACTTGCCCATAATAACCATGCAAACACATAATATTTGGTTGCTACGTCGGTTTCTAATATTGTCGGAATGCTTTTTCTGGTTCGCTATTAGCCGTATCCCAAGATAAGGCACCCTTCTAAACATATCCCTAACTCTCAAAGCAGTATCATTGGCTAAGGGTAATTAGTCCATGGCAGTATCTATCCTGGTAATTGGCAAATTGAAAAAATAAGGTATTTATTTTTGGTTCATGGCTAAAATTAAATAGATATTATTGGTTGCCAAGCATCAAACAGAGGAAACAGAGGGAAAAACAATGCAAAAAAATTTACGTAAAGATATACAGGGTGTTGCATTTAACAAATACCAACTTTGGGTCAAGTCTCAGACCTGGTGAGCAAAAAAAAAATGTGTACTATGCCACTGCATTCTACGTAAAAATGTCTAAAATAAACAGTTTTTATTATTTATATTTATACAAATACCGAACGCAGAAAAAATCACGGAACCTTCTCGAAAAAGTCGCATCCGTTTTCATTGCTTATCGTGGGTGACTAATCTTTAATCTGCAGGTGCCCTGATGCATTGATGATGATTATGCAATTCTACAATCTATTTAAAAGGCACGTTAAAAAATATGAATAACGCCTATTGGTATTTTACAAAACACTCAGAATCCCTTGGATTTAAAATTAGTAAAAAAAATGCAATCACTAATCAAAACTGTGTTCGAATGGATTAAAACCGTAGTCAATGTAATCAATTAGTTTGTTGAGGAATCCATACTATGTAATCCAGCAATGAATGTGCAATCAAAATATTTATAGTAAGTGCGATAGTAACTGTATTTTGATGTGTATTTATAGCAATCAAATTGATATTGAAGTACTCAACATTTTTCTGTGTGCGCCAACGAAGGCTCCTTAGTCAGGATTTTCCTCGGGAATTTCTTTTGAAATGCATTTTACACATTGTGAAAATAGGTAATTTTCCAATTCATACAAAAATTCGGGGTAAAAAAGAATATAATAAGAGTTAATAAAGTTTCATTGAGCTTAATTTTTTTATTATGTACCTACTTAAATAAAAATAACCAACATTGTTCCATAGTATCGTACATCTTCAAAATTTTGTCACCTGAACACCTGCAGGAAATCGAGCAAGAAATAATTTCAAGCTGAGCGCGATGGCAACAAAGTAGTGTTGTAACACCCCTGATACCAGGAACGACAGTTGACTAAATCCTGGGAGAGGCGGCGACGCCAGGCATAATATTTCAAAGTATCAAGTATCTTGGAAGGCGAACTTTAAAAATATGAGGATGCAAAAGTTTCAAGATTGAACCTTTCAAGCGAACCAGTCGATAAAATATTTTGAAAATTTCTGGTATACAGTGAGCGATAAATATCGAGATAAATATGCACAAAAATAATTCCTGTCCTCGAAATTGTCTGTATGAATTGTGTATTTACGAAGCTAGAAAAGGTACGTGGGGCGATGGCACTCACGTTGAGAAGAATAATTTTTTTACAATGAATGAGCTGTAACGTTAGTCGATTAATGAGGACCATCATAGTTTCAAGTAAACTACCATTGAAGCAATTGTAAGTTTAGTTTGAGAAGCCGTGGTAGTTGCTATTATTGAACACTAGCAAGAAATAACAAATTACTGACGGTTGGTAGAAATTTAAGCTTAGACTGTGAATTGATCCCTTACCAAATACATTTTTGTCAAAATTTCCCATTGGCTATATTGATATCGCTTATCAATAGTAGGGCTCCTACCACAGATAGATAGATTATTGAGGCGTGTCCCTATAATTTATTTGTTAAAAGTATAAAGTGACAAGCGAGGTGGTAAGTATACCCGAGAGCATACCTTACTACTATGTGGTTCTGGTTATAACTGGAGACGTAAATACGTAGTTATCATCTGCACAATTTACTTTTGTTCTCGCTTGTGTTTATAATGCGACTTGGTTCTCTTTCAAAATTTAAATATGTACATAATAATTTCCAATATAGACACTATCTTTACCAATACAAGAATGCCAACACAGATTTAAGTTAAAGAAAAATTTCTTTGGTACTGAAATGCAATTACTTTTTTCCTTGAATGGAATAAATATTATCTAGGCACTATTAATTTATCAACAAGTGAGTAAATAGATATCCGGTGCATGTTATAAAAATAATAAGATTATAAAAGTAAGGCATTTATCATAAACAGTCAAGGGGTACCTCTGGTACCGTACCACAGGGGTTACGAAAAGGCAGGTATTCTTGTCACAATTTCATTAACACGTGTGTTATTATGTTAACGTTAAATTCAATTATTGGACACGACTCCTAATTTAATTCAATTGCACGTTAACAATAAAGATGGTTAACCTTATAAATTGTGCAAGACCTATTCGTTAGAGCTAAATACTCACAGAAAAATTATATAAAAAAATAGCTTGTTTATAATATAAATTGTGTACTCTTGGGAGATAAAAATAAACCAGTGAAAGTAGCTAAATTGAGCCAGATGCTATAACTTGGGTACTTATTTTTGAAAAATGTAACATTTAAAATGCACTTACAATTTGTATTGTAAAATAGATATTGTTGGCACCCCTTAAAAACACAACAACAGACGATGGAGGGTTGGCACGGCACAAACTGGAGGCACACACATACACTAAACAAAGAATAACATAAAAACGTTAGATAATAACGAAATTACGATGACAATTAAAATTAGTTACTTTGTTTTTAGAATTACACGTTTATTTAATATAAAACCGCATGATAAACATGAATGCACCAACAAATCGATGTTACACGCAACGCGCCTGCTCCGGCCAAATGCTGCACGCATGACGTTTCGGTTTCAGTTTCAGTCTTTCTGAATTTACGAACTTTTACGACTCCTGTCTTCACTACTTGCGACATCTAAGTTTATATGTCGACACTTATTTCTATATTTAATATCACTGGTGCTACTACCATTATATACACTTTACAGAGAGGACGTTAATTTTTTGGAACGCATTATTCTAGTACTGGGAGCCTACCAGAAATGAGGAGATTTAGCGCTGCGACTGCGACCGTCTGTAGGTCGGTGATTAACTCAAGACGCGTTACAGCGATCTACCACGTCTATCATTGCATACCTACAGGATTCTATCTAATCAAATCGAATGAATCTTAGCAAAGAGTAAATTATGGTTCCTCATTGATCTTAGATTGAAGAGCTTTAGATCAACAGCAAATAATTCAGAAACATCCTAATTAATAAATAATAATCTGAACTTGCATAAAAAGAAATTTTTGGTCTTCATTGCGATGTCAGATTCGTAAACGGCAGTTTCAATATTAAATTACACCATTATACATTACACAATAATAAAATTTAGATACATAAAGTGCCTTCCACCTTCCACATCAAAATATGAGCGTAATGAATCAGAATGTGTGCAATAAATAGGTGATAGTAAAAAGTGCATTCACTGAAACTGGGCAGTAGGTGAGAATAAGGTCATTGCCACTTTACGTTTGAGATATCAAGATAAAGAGAATTTTCTTCTGTTGTATTCCCATGAAATAAAACCATTATTTAATATCAAAACAATTTCAAAAGCTACCGGGCTATCTTCATAATTTTTTATTTTGGTTATACAGACCTAAAAAATGATTTCCAGTTGTAAGAGCGGTAAATAGCCGGTTAGTAAGGGACCAACGCATACGTGTGTGAAGTTAGACATTATAGGATTCGCAATTGATGAAGTAAAATTTTTTTAGAAACTGACCTCGTAAATCATTCCTACTTTGCAGTAACAAAATTACAGTATTGATACCATTGGCCTATTTTGACTAATACCATTGTATTTACGTTTATAAATGCAGTGCTAATACCTATAGTCATGGAATGTGAACAAATTAACGACACTTGCTCTTATATAAACAACCTGAGAAAAAATGAAATTTATACTTACCAGGTGAAAATTTACAAATTAATTATTTTCAAACGGCGTATAAACGGATAGGGTATTTCCCCAAGCCAAGGTAGGGTATATCCGCTTTTTTTATGTTTCTCCTATTGACGTAGTCCACCAACATTAATCAGCAAAAGTTTTGAAAGTGAGGAACGTGGAAAAATTAATAATCATCGGTTTCAAAAAATTACGATGGCAAAATGACAGATGTTCTCTGAACGAAAAAAATTAGGCAGGCAGCTTATATAGCTGAAGGTGGAAATAAAATTGTTACGATGAAAATGCAGGTGAAAAAAAGTTGAAATATTCTTATATTTGATCTAAGCAGGCGAGATCTGACTACGACTTATGTCTAGAAATGCCACTAAAAAAATGAAGTGATGCAGCTAGCTATAAAAATAGCTGACTGTTGCAAAAATTTATGTTGGCAAGTTGCAGCTGGACGTTGAAAAAAAAAAGGCGATGGCAGCTGTTCCCCGAACGAAAAAAATTAGGAAGGCAGCTAAAGTAGCTGAAGGTGGAAACAAAAGAGTTTTACGATGAAACAATGCCAAGCTGAAACAAAATTGGAATTATTCTTATATCTAAGCAGGCGAAATCTAACTACGACTTATGTCTAAGTACGGTGGATTGCATGAAGGTGCTATCCTAAGTGGCCTCCTTTACCTCCCCTCACAGCCACCATCAGCCTCTCGAATTATGCAGTATAAATTAACTCGGATAACACCTTTCAAAATCCACCTTCATTGATATCAAGCAAGCAAGTTGAAATCAAACAGGCGAGATCTAACTACGACTTATGTCTAGAAAAGCCACTAAAAAAATTAAGGGATGCAGCTATAAAAATAGCTGACTGTTGCAAAAATTTATGTTGGCAAGTTGCAGCTGGACGTTGAAAAAAAAAGGCGATGGCAGCTGTTCCCCGAACGAAAAAAATTAGGAAGGCAGCTAAAGAGTAGCTGAAGGTGGAAACAAAAGAGTTTTACGATGAAACAATGCGCAGCTGAAAAAAAATTGGAATTATTCTTATATCTAAGCAGGCGAGATCTAACTACGACTTATGTCTAGAAAAGCCACTAAAAAAATTAAGGGATGCAGCTATAAAAATAGCTGACTGTTGCAAAAATTTATGTTGGCAAGTTGCAGCTGGACGTTGAAAAAAAAAAGGCGATGGCAGCTGTTCCCCGAACGAAAAAAATTAGGATGGCAGCTAAAGTAGCTGAAGGTGGAAACAAAAGAGTTTTACGATGAAACAATGCGCAGCTGAAAAAAAATTGGAATTATTCTTATATCTAAGCAGGCGAGATCTAACTACGACTTATGTCTAAGTACGGTGGATTGCATGAAGGTGCTATCCTAAGTGGCCTCCTTTACCTCCCCTCACAGCCACCCTCAGCCTCTCGAATTATGCAGTATAAATTAACTCGGATAACACCTTTCGAAATCCACCTTCATTGATATTATCAAGCAAGCAAGTTGAAATCAAACAGGCGAGATCTAACTACGACTTATGTCTAGAAAAGCCACTAAAAAAATTAAGGGATGCAGCTATAAAAATAGCTGACTGTTGCAAAAATTTATGTTGGCAAGTTGCAGCTGGACGTTGAAAAAAAAAAGGCGATGTCAGCTGTTCCCCGAACGAAAAAAATTAGGAAGGCAGCTAAAGTAGCTGAAGGTGGAAACAAAAGAGTTTTACGATGAAACAATGCGCAGCTGAAAAAAAATTGGAATTATTCTTATATCTAAGCAGGCGAGATCTAACTACGACTTATGTCTAGAAAAGCCACTAAAAAAATTAAGAAAAATAGCTGACTGTTGCAAAAATTTATGTTGGCAAGTTGCAGCTGGACGTTGAAAAAAAAAGGCGATGGCAGCTGTTCCCCGAACGAAAAAAATTAGGAAGGCAGCTAAAGAGTAGCTGAAGGTGGAATCAAAAGAGTTTTACGATGAAACAATGCGCAGCTGAAAAAAATTTGGAATTATTCTTATATCTAAGCAGGCGAGATCTAACTACGACTTATGTCTAAGTACGGTGGATTGCATGAAGGTGCTATCCTAAGTGGCCTCCTTTACCTCCCCTCACAGCCACCATCAGCCTCTCGAATTATGCAGTATAAATTAACTCGGATAACACCTTTCGAAATCCACCTTCATTGATATTATCAAGCAAGCAAGTTGAAATCAAACAGGCGAGATCTAACTACGACTTATGTCTAGAAAAGCCACTAAAAAAATTAAGGGATGCAGCTATAAAAATAGCTGACTGTTGCAAAAATTTATGTTGGCAAGTTGCAGCTGGACGTTGAAAAAAAAAGGCGATGGCAGCTGTTCCCCGAACGAAAAAAATTAGGAAGGCAGCTAAAGAGTAGCTGAAGGTGGAAACAAAAGAGTTTTACGATGAAACAATGCGCAGCTGAAAAAAAATTGGAATTATTCTTATATCTAAGCAGGCGAAATCTAACTACGACTTATGTCTAGAAAAGCCACTAAAAAAATTAAGGGATGCAGCTATAAAAATAGCTGACTGTTGCAAATATTTATGTTGGCAAGTTGCAGCTGAACGTTGAAAAAAAAAAGGCGATGGCAGCTGTTCCCCGAACGAAAAAAATTAGGAAGGCAGCTAAAGTAGCTGAAGGTGGAATCAAAAGAGTTTTACGATGAAACAATGCGCAGCTGAAAAAAAATTGGAATTATTCTTATATCTAAGCAGGCGAGATCTATCTAACTACGACTTATGTCTAGAAAAGCCACTAAAAAAATTAAGGGATGCAGCTATAAAAATAGCTGACTGTTGCAAAAATTTATGTTGGCAAGTTGCAGCTGAACGTTGAAAAAAAAAAGGCGATGGCAGCTGTTCCCCGAACGAAAAAAATTAGGATGGCAGCTAAAGTAGCTGAAGGTGGAAACAAAAGAGTTTTACGATGAAACAATGCGCAGCTGAAAAAAAATTGGAATTATTCTTATATCTAAGCAGGCGAGATCTAACTACGACTTATGTCTAGAAAAGCCACTAAAAAAATTAAGGGATGCAGCTATAAAAATAGCTGACTGTTGCAAAAATTTATGTTGGCAAGTTGCAGCTGAACGTTGAAAAAAAAAGGCGATGGCAGCTGTTCCCCGAACGAAAAAAATTAGGATGGCAGCTAAAGTAGCTGAAGGTGGAAACAAAAGAGTTTTACGATGAAACAATGCGCAGCTGAAAAAAAAATGGAATTATTCTTATATCTAAGCAGGCGAGATCTAACTACGACTTATGTCTAGAAAAGCCACTAAAAAATTAAGGGATGCAGCTATAAAAATAGCTGACTGTTGCAAATATTTATGTTGGCAAGTTGCAGCTGAACGTTGAAAAAAAAAAGGCGATGGCAGCTGTTCCCCGAACGAAAAAAATTAGGATGGCAGCTAAAGTAGCTGAAGGTGGAAACAAAAGAGTTTTACGATGAAACAATGCGCAGCTGAAAAAAAATTGGAATTATTCTTATATCTAAGCAGGCGAGATCTAACTACGACTTATGTCTAAGTACGGTGGATTGCATGAAGGTGCTATCCTAAGTGGCCTCCTTTACCTCCCCTCACAGCCACCCTCAGCCTCTCGAATTATGCAGTATAAATTAACTCTCGGATAACACCTTTCAAAATCCACCTTCATTGATATCAAGCAAGCAAGTTGAAATCAAACAAGCGAGATCTAACTACGACTTATGTCTAGAAAAGCCACTAAAAAATTAAGGGATGCAGCTATAAAAATAGCTGACTGTTGCAAAAATTTATGTTGGCAAGTTGCAGCTGAACGTTGAAAAAAAAAAGGCGATGGCAGCTGTTCCCCGAACGAAAAAATTAGGATGGCAGCTAAAGTAGCTGAAGGTGGAAACAAAAGAGTTTTACGATGAAACAATGCGCAGCTGAAAAAAAATTGGAATTATTCTTATATCTAAGCAGGCAAGATCTAACTACGACTTATGTCTAAGTACGGTGGATTGCATGAAGGTGCTATCCTAAGTGGCCTCCTTTACCTCCCCTCACAGCCACCCTCAGCCTCTCGAATTATGCAGTATAAATTAACTCTCGGATAACACCTTTCAAAATCCACCTTCATTGATATC